TGCACGGAATCAAGATACACACAAGAGTAGATATAGCAAACCCTCAGTGCAGTACAAGACACCAAACAAAATCCCACAAGCAGAGGACAGAATCTCTAATGAAAGAGGCCCCAGGGAGGTCTCCCTAGACTCTATTCCCACCCCAGTACTGTAGGGATATATAGAAAGAAAGCTAAAATACAACAGATAGCCAGAAATTGCAGTTCAGAGGAGAAGGTCAATACAGTTTCAAATAACATGAAATGTTTATCAAGGAAAATTCACTTGCACCATAACAAAACAAAGTTCTTGACAATTTAAGCATGAGCAAAAGAAGAGAAATGATATGTCAACTACAAACACACCACAAACACACAACAAAGCATCATGCAAAAGAAATAAATATCATAATAGAAAAGATAACATAATCCAGGGACAAGAACATTTTCCTACCAGTCTTTTGCAATTTAGAATAACATAATTAAGAACTCAATAAAACAAAGTTCAAAGAGAAGACGCCAAAGCAAAAGAGCGAATGAGAAGGGAAATAAAAAACTTAAGGAAACAAGTTGAGAGCCTAAGTAAGTAAATGAACAGATAAAATTCAATAAATGAACTAGAAACAACAGGGAAGGAAATAGGGACATCAGGGATTACTAACATATAAGAAAAGTTGGAGATTATCAGTGAATGCAAAGAAAAAAACGGACTAAAATAATTATTGAACATATAGATAATAGGTAAGGATAAAAATGCCCCAATACAAGAATGACTAGAGTCTTTAAAATAGAAAAACTATGATGGAATAGATAATTCACAAATCTAAAATATGGAAATAAAGGAAGAATTAAATAGTCCTTAGAAAGGCATACTGGTTCCAAAAATGTTACTATACACTAGTCAACACAGACATCCTGATTAAATTCTATTTCAAGAAAAGAATCCTCCAGGTATCCAGGCAGAAAAAAACAAACCACCTATAAGTAAGGAAAAAAAAATCTAACTGACCTCAGACTTCTTTTCAGCCAAACTCAATGTCAGAAAAGGCATTACAAAACATTACAATGTTTGGAATGAAAAAACACTTAACCCAATTTTATTCATAACCAATTTGAATATAAGGATAACACAGAGCCAATCTTAAGCATGTTAAATCAGAGAATAAACTATTTATGAGCTCTTCCTCAAAAAAATGTTTGACATGAAATTCAGTTACCCAGGGATTCCCCCACAAGTAAGAACTCAGACGTAAAGATACAACATATGATAAAAGTTCCAGTAATGATTATTCAATCATTTAAATATAAAATCAAGATAAAACAACAGGAGGGCATTTTGGCTATGGAATCTAACACAACTTCTATAAAAATTTAAAAGATTTTTTTTTTTAAAAAGAGAAGTTTCAAACTTCTCATATATCTCAGTGATGTTAACAGGGAAACTGGGTGAGGGTTACATGGGAACTTTGTTCTATCTTCACAACTTTTCTGTAAATCTAGAAGTATTCTAAAATAATCAGTTTATTGGGAGAAAAAAAAAGGAAGTCCAAATAAAGACAGTAGAGTGAAATTTGAACACACATATCTACTTATTCCATCATACACCCACATGAACATAAGATAAAAATTAATCAAACAGTAAAGCAAGTAGTACATCATATAGTAATTTTTAAAAGCAGGGACAAGGTAGAGGGTGGAAAAAGTGATGATTTTCCTTTTACACATGATATTGTTATAAAGAAAAGACAATGAGCTCATCAAATCCTGAGAATTTTTTCACTAATACCACATAGCTTGGAAATAACCTGAGACACCAATGAGTTGAGTAGACAGCTCAGAGAAAAGTAAACTCCTTTCTGAGTAGAAGCCTACATTACTGAAGAATCTTTACAGAGGAAGCAAGACTCATCAGGGCTGAGCATTTTCTACTACACTGGTGGAACAAGTAAGAGCCCAAAAGTAATGGGCCTTGGGGATCAGTAATGGGTGCACGGAATCAAGATACACACAAGAGTAGATATAGCAAACCCTCAGTGCAGTACAAGACACCAAACAAAATCCCACAAGCAGAGGACAGAATCTCTAATGAAAGAGGCCCCAGGGAGGTCTCCCTAGACTCTATTCCCACCCCAGTACTGTAGGGATATATAGAAAGAAAGCTAAAATACAACAGATAGCCAGAAATTGCAGTTCAGAGGAGAAGGTCAATACAGTTTCAAATAACATGAAATGTTTATCAAGGAAAATTCACTTGCACCATAACAAAACAAAGTTCTTGACAATTTAAGCATGAGCAAAAGAAGAGAAATGATATGTCAACTACAAACACACCACAAACACACAACAAAGCATCATGCAAAAGAAATAAATATCATAATAGAAAAGATAACATAATCCAGGGACAAGAACATTTTCCTACCAGTCTTTTGCAATTTAGAATAACATAATTAAGAACTCAATAAAACAAAGTTCAAAGAGAAGACGCCAAAGCAAAAGAGCGAATGAGAAGGGAAATAAAAAACTTAAGGAAACAAGTTGAGAGCCTAAGTAAGTAAATGAACAGATAAAATTCAATAAATGAACTAGAAACAACAGGGAAGGAAATAGGGACATCAGGGATTACTAACATATAAGAAAAGTTGGAGATTATCAGTGAATGCAAAGAAAAAAACGGACTAAAATAATTATTGAACATATAGATAATAGGTAAGGATAAAAATGCCCCAATACAAGAATGACTAGAGTCTTTAAAATAGAAAAACTATGATGGAATAGATAATTCACAAATCTAAAATATGGAAATAAAGGAAGAATTAAATAGTCCTTAGAAAGGCATACTGGTTCCAAAAATGTTACTATACACTAGTCAACACAGACATCCTGATTAAATTCTATTTCAAGAAAAGAATCCTCCAGGTATCCAGGCAGAAAAAAACAAACCACCTATAAGTAAGGAAAAAAAAATCTAACTGACCTCAGACTTCTTTTCAGCCAAACTCAATGTCAGAAAAGGCATTACAAAACATTACAATGTTTGGAATGAAAAAACACTTAACCCAATTTTATTCATAACCAATTTGAATATAAGGATAACACAGAGCCAATCTTAAGCATGTTAAATCAGAGAATAAACTATTTATGAGCTCTTCCTCAAAAAAATGTTTGACATGAAATTCAGTTACCCAGGGATTCCCCCACAAGTAAGAACTCAGATGTAAAGATACAACATATGATAAAAGTTCCAGTAATGATTATTCAATCATTTAAATATAAAATCAAGATAAAACAACAGGAGGGCATTTTGGCTATGGAATCTAACACAACTTCTATAAAAATTTTAAAAGATTTTTTTTTTTAAAAAGAGAAGTTTCAAACTGCTTATTTCATAGCTGAGAGCAAGTGATATTGTTTAACTGAAACACCGTATGTTTTCAAATATTGAAAGAAATTGATTCTAACACCTTAATGTTTCTCACAGTCTCTTAAATTTAGAAGGATCTTTAGGGAACTAATATAACTTATTGAAAGAAAACATTGCATGAAGTTCAAAAACGTCTTCATTTCACTTCAGTTGATAACTACTCTTAAAACTCCAGTAATTTATATAGCACTTGCTACTAGCCAGATTTATATCATTTAGCCCTCATAACAACCTATATAAAGTAAGCACTATTTACGCATTTTCTAGGAAAAAAACTAGAGACTCTGAGTACTTTGTCCATGGCTGTACAGCTAGGAAAAACAAAGCCAAGATACAAAGACAGATAACTGAGTCCTGGAATCTGTGCTCTTCCATATTATCTATGAAGCCTCTCAAATAAAGAAGCATGTATAAATGATTTAACTTTTATCAAATTAACTCTATGTATACATCCATTCAACCATTAACCATATGTCCCTCCAGATAACAGTGTTGAAGTATATAAGCAAAGAGAAATGTTTGGAATAATATTTCTCTATTCATAAAGGCAGTTATTTGGGAGTAGGCAATGTGAAATTCAGGTAAATTTTTTTGTTTATATCTATTTTAAAATATACTTAATGTTTTATAATCAGTCTCTATCAGTCTTCAAAAAGAAAAGCCATTAATCGTAACAAAAAACAAATCATATTACTGAATCACAACTTGAACACTGTCTTGTTAATTATTTAATGACTTTTTGTCTCGCTAATGAACCATATTTTAATTGGTTCTTTCCTGGGATCCCCCAGAGCCTAGAACAATGTTAGACAGAGCAAACGCTGATAAGTATATTGATGGATCATTATAAAATATTGGATTACTACACTGTGTAAGTAACATATTTCTAGATGCTCTAAGGGCCTTTCTATCCAAAGCAACTCCTTAGACTAGAGCCATCTGCATCATCTGGGAGCTTGAAAATAGAAAGAATCTCAGGCTCCACTCAGGTCTACTGAACAAGAATGTACATTTTAACAAGACTTCCCAAGTCATTGGAGAGCACATTAAAACTGCAGAATTACTTATGTCTAGAGCATTGTTTCTCTAAAGTGGTCCATTATTTGCCTATATCAGAATCACTTGGGTTACTTGTTAAAAATGTAGATTGTCAGGCTTCACCCTATTTCATCTATCACCAAACTGTGGGAACCACAGCTAAAAGAAGTAAAAGGTAGTGAAGAACAAGGATAAGCATATAAAGCAGACAGCAGTGAAAGAATCTAGATAGCTGAAATAAATCAATAAAGTGATAATAAGAGAGAGAAGAAAAGAGGAGTCACAAAGGAAGGAAAGTAAGGCAAACAATAATCAACTATGAGGAAGTAAAGAAAGTTAATTGCATTGAGAATGTTGTACATTTCTTTTTCTTTCTTTCTTTTTTGGCAACTGTTATCCCTGACATGCAAACTACTTCAGCATGCCAAAAGTTGTAGGACTGTGGGGAAGTTACTAGTCTAACATACAAGAACCAGTAACATTTCTGCATACATAACTACCACATAATGCATGCACTTTACAAATGCTCCTAATGTTATTAATAGTTTTAAGTGTGTACATACACTTTCAGAGACATTTCCATATTCTTGGGTTGTGCAATTGCTTCATCTTGCTCCTCATTGGCTAATCGTAGTCGAGACATAATAGCTTCATCACGTTCTCTCTGTGCAAAATACACTTCTTCAACCAGTGCTACCAAAATATAAAATCCATAATTAGCAAAAATAAAGGAGAAATACATACTTTTAGCAAAAGTATAAAGCAAAAATAATTTTATTAAGTTACTAATCACTTGAGAAAACACTATTTTGTAAAAGCTAATGCAAAACTGAGATCCATTTCACATCAAAAAATTAAAATTAAAAGGTCAAATAATAACAAATATTGTGAGCTTATTAAATAAACTCACATTTACTGCTGATAGGCATACATATGTCTACCACTGTATGAAGAGCAATTTGCAATGTTTATTGCAGCTAAAGATATACCTAGCCTATAACCTGACAAATCTCTTTGGTAGGCAGCCTAGAGAAATTCTGGCTCATGTGCACAGGGGAACATGTATGAAAATGCTTACCGCAGCATTATAAAACAATAAAAACTTAGAAATAACTCAAATATCCAATAACTGGAACAAGAATAAATAAATTACTATACATTCAAAGTAGAGCACCATCCATTTAATATATCCACTTAAAACAGCATTTAAAATGAATTAACTATGAACAAATGGACAAATATAAAAAAAAAATTTTGGCAAAAATACCAAGTTGCAAAGTAAAACATTAACTACTATTTATGGATAGACAGAGTTAGTAAAACTATTAAAACAAGTATGGAAAGGTAAACACCAAATTCACGATGATAGTTACCTCAGTAGGACGGTGGAAGGAGAGTAAAGTAAATGGGATCAAGGAAGAGTAAAGGGGCAGAGCTGCTTCAGCACTGCACATCTTCAGGGGTACCATTTATATAGATTATATTGCAAAGGGCATCATTTAGATTTGTGTCGTGTTATGCAGGGAGCTTTCATGTTACCTGAAATTGTCATTTCTGAAATGCAATTTCTACTTCAAATCTTACATGACTTTAAAAATATCACTGTAGTGTTTGACAAAAAGGAGCTCAAAAACCTGTATCACTGAACCAAATTTTATTTATACCATCAAAGCACAAAACAAACTTAGGAAAGATGTTTGAAATGTACTTTTAGTTCATAAAACGTTGATGATATACAGTTAATCAAGACAGTTATTTTTGCATTATTTAAATTATAAGTAGTAGAAAAGAAACAAACCCTGAGAATATATCAACTGTATCTTTTCCATAATAGAATATAAAATGGAACATGTAATGGCAATGCTAAAGCCAAAACTGCTTCCAAGAAGTTGAGCCTAAGGCAAGAAGAATTCATTTATTCATGCATGCATTCATTCATTCATTCATCACATTATTTACCAACTTCCTGTGGCAGTCATCCGTCTAGTTTTAAGGAGTATGAATATAGTGCATTAAAAGTCCTTACCATCCTGGAGTATACATTCCATTATAGGGAGACAGACAGTAGAGAGAAAAACAAGCTGAAAAATTAAATAGGTAGGTAGGTAGGTAAACAGAAAGATGAGAGAGTGTGAGAGAGAGACAGAGAAACAGAGAGACAGAGAGATAGAAAGAAAGAATAGATAGTAAAGACTTTGAAGGAAAATAAGGCTGTGAAACAAAAGGGTAATTTGGCAGATGGGAATAGAGCAGACTTGTTTTAGAAAGGGTGGTTAGAAAAGACCTTATTTAAATAAATGACATTTCAGCAAATTCAAATAAAGAGAAGCCATATATATGTATATATATTTATATATTTGAAGTAGACTAAGCAGAAGATAAAATACTGCGAAGTCCTAGTGGAACAACAGCAAGGCTAATGTGGCTGGAGCACAGTACGAGAAGGTGAGAGTGTTGAGAGATCTCACTGGGCCTTGGAAGCCCTTGCAAGGATTTTAGGTATCTTAATATGAGATAGACACTGGAGGGTTCTGAGCAGGGAAATAATGGCATCACACTTATGTCTGAAAAAGAAGTCTGGCTTCTGGGTGAGAAACAGTTTGGAAATGGGCAAGCATGGATTCAGAGACCAGTTAGGAAACTACAGTAGTCATCGAAGCAAAATTCACATCAATAACTCATATAAATGACCCATTCCTAGGAACTTGAAGTTACCTAGAAATAATTATATATATGCTATCCTAGAGTTTGGATCTTGTACTACAGGACTTTTAGATTAGGAGTGACTTGATTAGATCTGTGTTTTAGAAGGAAACTCCAAGAGATTCACATACAAAGTGTATGTGCAAGATTGAGGAATCAGAAGAAAGCTGCCGGGTGGACTGCACATGCCTCTTAACCCATATTAGATCACTATAACTGTAAGAAATAAAATCCTGAACTAAGGCAAGGGAAATAGAAAGGAAAAAGGAAAAAAGTGATTCAATTAATAACAAAAAGGGTAAAATAATAGAACCTAAGAATTAAGCATGTGCTTAATTTTAGAGAAGAAAAACACAAGACAGGTGACATCATTAAGTCATCCATCAACCTATCAACAGTGTAATCTTCATAAAACTTTAGGATAAACAGGTTACTCCTCTCCTCACTGCTGTCATATAGATTCTAAGGCAAAAAAAATGTATGAGCCTAGCATTCAAGGAAAACTAGAGTCCATTTCTAGTCTACCTTCCCAGCATCATCTACCACTATATTCCCTCTAGGACAATATTTCACAAAATATAGGTTGTGAGACACATCTTTTAACAATTATGTGTCATTTTAACGGATACTAGAAAAACATAACTAGTACATTAGACCTATCATTTCTCCTAGTGGCATTTAATGTCCAACTTCTTTATTTATTTATTTTTATTTATTTTTTATTTTGTTACCATTAACAAAATTTGTCTCTTCAACAGCTGGTGTTGGCAAAACTGGACAGCTACATGTAAGAGAATGAAACTGGATCACTTTCTAACCCCATATACAAAAGTAAATTCGAAATGGATCAAAGACCTGAATGTAAGTCATGAAACCATAAAGCTCTTAGAAAAAAACATAGGCAAAAATCTCTTGGACATAAACATTAGTGACTTCTTCATGAACATATCTGCCTGGGCAAGGGAAACAGAAGCAAAAATGAACAAGTGGGACTATATCAAGCTGAAAAGCTTCTGTACAGCAAAGGACACCATCAATAGAATAAAAAGGTACCCTACAGTATGGGACAATATATTCATAAATGACAGATCTGATAAAGGGTTGACATCCAAAATATATAAAGAGCTCATGCACCTCAACAAACAAAAAGCAAATAATCCAATTAAAAAATGGGCAGAGGAGCTGAACAGACAGTTCTCCAAAGAAGAAATTCAGATGGCCAACAGGCACATGAAAAGATGCTCCACATCGCTAGTAATGTCCAACTAATTTAAATTTCTCCAAGTTACCCAATACTGTTGAACCAGATTACATAAGATAATTTTCTATTATTTCACTTATTTAAAATCCAAAAACATAAAACTTTCTCATTCTTGGAATAATTTAGATACATTAGAACAAAATTTAGAATAATAGTTACCTTTTGGAGGTAGTACTATAAGGGAAGATGAAGAAGATTCTGAGATATTGGTGATATTTGGTTTCTTGATCTGGTTGCTGGTTACACAAGTGTGTTCACTTTCTGAGATAAAACAGCATAGTTATTTGTGCACTTTTTGTGTTTAGATGTTAAAACTAAATAAGAAAGATTACATTCAAAAGGATATGTCTATTAGTTTAAAAAGTTGAGTTGATTTAAAGAAAAATATTAAGTCAATGGTAGACAAAAAGCAGAGATGATAAAATTTTTGAAGGTATATGTTTGGATTAAATATTTTAAGCAACAGAGACTTGTCCTTCTGGTCAAGACAAAGTGACAGGATCTGCATTTGTCCTCCTACTTAAAAATAATTTTTAAAAATGGACCAAATATATGGGATGACAGCTTTCAAGACTAAAAAGACACAAAGAACAGTGACCTGAAGAAAATAAATGAGTGGCCCAGGTTAATACAAAGCCAAGAGTTTCCAGACATGGCACAGGAACAAAAGAATCCAGAAGGAGACCAGTTGACTCCACAATCAGTGGAGACAGAGATAAGAATCTGGGAAAACCAAAGCAGCCAGAATTCTCGAGACTATTAGAGGAAGAACCAGCTGCAAAGAAAGAAACTTTTGGGGACATGCAGAGGGTCTTCCTCAAGAAGTCAGCTGACTGCTGAGCACATAGGTGTAAGACAACAAGCCCACGCAGGGGAAAGAACTAGAGGCAACAGTGCCCTGAGCTCCACAAAACCAGAAATAGTGTATGTTGCTCCCACTAGCGATACTGAAAAATCCCATGATTCATGACATACTGGATACAGTTGTCAGAAGGGTCTTACCTCAGTAGTGGGGATTAATTAACCCTAAACACTGCTCTGGACACATCTAACATACCATCAAAACATGACCCAAAAGGGCTACCTGTTTGCAAAAAAATGTTAAGTACATCAAAATAAAGCTCAAGAATAATTTATAAGAATACAAAAATAGCCAGCTCCTAAAATGGTAAGATCTACAATGGCACCCAATTGCCAGGCTGCAAAAAAGCACCAAAATTAGAACCCATAAATAGAGAAAAATTAATCAACTGAAACCAATATCTTTGCCAACCAACTAATACATGACCTTGTTTTATGAGTATTTTTGTTTTAAGACACTATAATACATATTGCTTATTAACATTGAATTCATGACTAGCAGCACTGTAATCACACCTGAACAAAGCTTATCTAAAAGACACATTTTCTCCATGAGGCACAGCACAGCTTCCTTGTGCTTAGGGAACACCAGATTGCATTTCAACACTACACTGGGGAATTATTTTAAACAGTAAAATCATCAATAAAAGGTACAAAAATGGAATAACTCTGGCATTAAATAAGCTACAAAAAAGGGCATTTGTTTAGAGTATAAGATCTGAAACAAGAAAGTGGAGTGTGGCTCTGAGATATTAGTTTTCTTGGTTTGTTGTTGGGTAATTTTGATTAATTTTTAATGGAAAACCAACATTGCATTCTACAAAATGAGTATAGTACCAAATGCAAAACCTAAAACTGTAAGTTCTGGAAGGAAACACAAAAGAAAATGTCCAGGATGTTAGGTAAGCAAAGATTTCTATAATACCAAAGCATATTCTATTTTTAAAAACTGATAAGACTTCAATTTAACTAAATTAAAAGTTTCCACTTTTCAAAAGACCCTGATAAGAAAATGAAAAGCCAAGTCACAGACTGGAAGAAAATAACTGTAAAGCATATATCTGATAAAAGACTTGCATCCACACATAATTTTCTTGGTAAGAAAACAAAAAACCCAATTAAAAAATGGGCAATTAACTGGAACAGGCATTTTATTAAAGCAGATATACTGACGGTAAATATGCACAATAAAAAGTGCCTAACATCTTTAGTCATGAGATAAATGCAAATTAAAACTACAAGATAATCACTACATACCTCTTACAATGGCTAAAATGAAAGACTCATTAAAGATACTGGCAAGGATGGAGACCAACTAGAATTCTCATGCACTACTGGTAGGAACGTAAAATAGCACAACCATAATGGTCAGTTTCTGAAAATATTAAATATATATCTACCATAAGATTTAGCCAACAAGTAAAATACTTATATTGTAGGTAAAACAAATCACTGGGTGTTCACAATAATATTTGGATATCTCCATTTTTAAACATGGTTATCAAATATCCTGTAATTCTTAGTCAAATTCAAGAAAGATTCAGAGAGGATCACATTACCCACCCAACACTAAATATTCAAATTTGTTTAGTAAGCTAATTGTTTTCTAATATAAACAAGAGTAAATATGAAGAGGCTGAACCACACTAAGTATGAGTTTATTGAGTCAAGACAGAGTACGTATATTTTCTTAGTAGAACCCAAGTCTATGACAAACCCATGCCCTACACTCCTCTACTAAAAAATACAGAAGTGAGACAGTACAAAGACTTGACCACTTTTAAGCTCATCATCTTTATAACATCTTATTTATAATATCTGTAACTTAGCATCTTTATTTATAAACAGCCAAAAACTAGAAGTAACCCAAATTTCCATGAACAGATGAATGGATACAGAAACTTTATATTAAATTGTGTTGGAATAACTGCTATGTAAAATCAAATGCTTTTAATTGGCAATGAGATAAGGATAAGAAATTCTTATTAGGAAGATAACTTTAGGAAAAACTGGTACTTTTCAGCACAAATTTCATAGTTTTATTTATTTATTTATTTATTTATTTATTTAAGGTAAGTATCATTACTGCTATGAGGCTGTGGCTATACAATTCTGTTACTATGTATCAATTCATCACTCTGGTTTAAAAGAAACTTCTCCCCAAAATGTAATGCCGGATAATGAGTTTTATTTCTGCCTTCTAATTGTACAGAATCACCTTCCAGGAGATCTAACAGCTTAGACAAAGCAATATAGTGTATTAGGAAGGATATGGGTTCTGACTCAGACTCAAAGTGTTATCATACCATACTAAAGTTAGGCAACTTCTTTTTGCACATTTCTTAATGTATTTTAGTCACAGTTCAGATGTATAAAATGGATATAATACCACCATTTACAGCTGTTACAGAAAAATTAAGTAAGACAATATATGAAAACTCTTGGCCAATGAACAAAGTGGATTCTCAACAGACATTAGTTTCATGCCACCACCGCCATCACCACCCTCAAGTCAGACTTACAATTTGGCTTCATTTCTGAGCATATTAAAAATGTGATTTTGATGCATCTGGATGACTTACATAAATATTCAAATTTAACATATATATATATATATTACATATATATATATATATAAAATAAACTATTCTGATTTCCTCACTTTTTAGCCTTTTTTGTTGGTATATCAAATTTATTTACAGGAGCTGAAAGAAAAATTATTCAGAACCTATTCTACATTGCATACTATACACTATAAGGACATAATAGTTTATAAAAATATCATGATACTCTAAGATTTAAACACACATTAGAAACACTTCTAATTTGTAGGTCAGACAGAATGGATGAAATGATGCTAAATCCTGATCTAAGCACAGATCAACATGTATATCACACTGCTCTGAAATATTTGGCATACTGAAAGGTTAAAATACTAATTACTAAACATTAAATACTGATAGGCTTCCTACCACTATGTAAAGTGTGATGAGATCTTCATAAAGTGACATTTAATGTCAGTTGTTCCACTTTCTATACAACAGCACTTGGTGAAAGGTGTAAGACTAGGAACACCAAAAGCTTTCATAATAGGTCTAGTTATCTCTATGTTAAAAGGTACATGCTTTACCCTGAGGGCTCTTTTGGATCTGTGTGATCAAGAAAGACATTTTTTCCCCTATAATGCTATACCACCTCCAAAGATGTAAATAATATGTATACTTAAAAGGAGATTACCTTCTGAATATTTTAAAGTTAAGTTTAAGAATGCTATAAAACGCACAAATATAAAATCTGATTTTGTTTTTCATAAAACGCTAAGAAATTTTTCCAAAATTAAGGTATTACTGATTCTTTCATACCTGATTTTATATGACATTTGTTGATTATGAAAAACCTAATTCTTTCTAGAATTCAGTACTTTTAAAGGATCAATATGCAACTCTCAAACATTTTTAGTAAAGAAAACTTAATTGTAAACACTGAGCTTTCCAAGGTAGATGACTATTACAAAGTTCACTAGAAAATCAATATAGCATTTTAGTTGGAATTTGCTCATTAAACACCCACAGCTCTAATGCAAATTATGATGGAATGAATAAAGCAAATACGCATGCTTCTTTATTTTTATTAAATGTAAAATCTACTGTTAATTGCATCTGGTATGTCATACAAACTTTTCTCCTTAACTATTAAATAGAAGCTTTAACAAAAGTCATTAGAGATTCTCTTTCTTTGACTTGAATAAATTTCAATATTTGTTCAGTAAAGGTTCACAGCAGTTAAATTACATTAACAAATATTATTAGCTACTATGTAAGCCAACCAAGTAAAATACTTATATTGTAGGTAAAACAAATCATTGGGTGTTTACAATAATATTTGGATATCTCCATTTTTAAACATGGTTATCAAATATCCTGTAATTCTTAGTCAAATTCAAGAAAGATTCAGAGAGGATCACATCACCCTCCCCAACACTAAATACTCAAATTTGTTTAGTAAGCTAATTGTTTTCTAATATAAGCAAGAGTAAATATGAAGAGGCTGAACCACACTAAGTATGAGTTTATTGAGTCAAGACAGAGTACATATTTTCTTAGTAGAACCCAAGTCTATTGACAAACCCATGCCCTACACTCCTCTACTTTAAAAATACAGAAGTGAGACAGTATATTGGAAAACATTCTAGTTCAAACATTAGATCATGATTCTCTAAATAACATAATTTGGAGAATAGACATTTCCCAGGAAAAAGAATCCATTTGCCAACATCTTCAAGGTACCTATGTAAACAGAAAAGGTTGAACTAAAGAGAGGGAAGAAGAAATCATCAGGATTTGAATTTGAAATATATAAAATAATAACTGATTACAATTCATGTTCTAAAACTCTAAGCA